TTCTCTCTGAAATCTTCAAGGAGGAAGGCCAATCCCACATAGGCTCTTTTCAGCAGCCTGGCAGGGAGTCAGGAGTCAGGGCTAAGCGCAGGGTGGGAGGTGTGGGTTCTGCTGCCAGGCCTCACTTACTAGAAAGACTCGGCTCTGCCATCCCAGCTTCTGGAAGCAAGCGTGTGCGGCCCTGCTAGAAGGCTCCAGCTTGCTGCGTGACTTGGGGGGTGTCTCTGCTCCCTCCAAATGGTCTGCTGTCACCGTGGTGTGATCCATGAGGTTTCCTCTAAAATATGAGAATGCTAGCTCCTGACTGCCCTTTAAGGAGGAGACAGTGGCTGCGGCTGTTGTTTATTTCTAATAAACATCTCTCCTGATCGCCATCTTGTTATAAGGATGCAAGAGGTAGGAGACAGATGGATGAGAGTGGTTTTGATTTGCTTTACTGTAGGAAACAAGACTAATCCACAAAACAAGGCCACATAGATATACTGGAACTTCAATTATCCCAGTGTCATAAACACTGCTGCCCCCTGAGGGGTCTGGGTGTGATTCCTATGTACCAGCTGCTAGGGTCCCGGGGTGGGGACGTCCCCTGAGCCTCCACTTCCTCACTCTGGGGAAAAAGCGGGGACCACTCACTACAGCACCCTTGAGGGGTGCTGTGCCCCACTGTGTGAGAGAAGCCTCCCTGGAACTCAGTGCCAGACCTGGAACAAATGATGTGCTCTCTAAATGCCAGCAGCGGTTATCGAGACCCTTGTGACAGAGAAGGGTCTGAGAGTAATTTGAACCATATTTGGAAAGCATCTTTGTGCTGCGTGCTGGCCTGGCTGGGCTTGGCCTCGGGGAAGTGGCATCCCTGACAACCAGTGGCCACCTAGCAGGCAGGCCTGGGTGGTTTGTGGAGCAAAGCCTGATTGCACAGGTCCCTGATTTAGTTCATGTAAAGCCTTTGCTTTCTCATCTGCAGAGCAGATGATACCCAGATCATCTGGGCAGGGGATTTAGCTCAGTGGTTCTGATGCCTGCCTCACAAGTGCAAGGACCTGAATTCAATCCCTGGTACCACAAAAAAAAAAAAGTGGTGTGTTGTATGGTGCGTTTATCCTATGTATGGTATGTATAATGCGTGTGTGCCTGTTTTAGTTACTTTCTCATTTCTGAGACCCACAACTCTAAGGAAGAAAGGTTTATTTTGGCTCTCAGTTTGTAGACGTTTTAGGTCATAGTCATCTGGCTCTGAGTCAGGGCAGCCTGGCCGAAGGGCAGGGAAGAGGAGAAACAGTCTGTGGTGTGATAGCAGGAGGCAGAGAAGGGATCAAGGAAGGAGGAGGGAGATAGACCCTGCCAGGCCACGCCCTCAGTGACATTTCCTCCAACCAGGCTTCACCTTCCAACATCATCTTTAACTACAAACTCCTCAGTGCACTGATCCACTGATGGCTATCACACCCCTGTGATCCAGTCACCCCCCCAAAGCCCTACCTATATGCACACAAGGCTTTGGGACATCCATTTATAAACCATAGCATCGGTGAATGGGCGGGTGTGTAGTGTGTGTGTGACCCTCTAAAAGAACTCTTTTGGGGACAAGACTTCTTACACTTCACACATTTTAACTTGGCATGTAAAATATTTCATTCTAACTTTAGCCACAAAGAATCTATTTCTGCGATGGTTTGACTATTGACATTTTGGAATAACATTATACCGTGCTTAAAAATATATCAAATGGAAACCAAATAACATAGAACCCTTTACTTTATCTTTTTATTGAAGTATCACATGGATGCAGAAGAATGTACCCATTGTAAATGTGCAGCTCAACACATTTTAGTCAGTGTCGTACTACTCAGAGCAAGGTGTGGGCCATCTCCAGCCATCTGGAAGACACACTGCTCCCTGCTTAGTCCACAGCATCCTAGAATAGTCACTTCTCCACCTCTGCCACCATAAAATACCTTTTCATTACCTCATCTGTTCTGGCAACTTTTGGTCACCATAAGGTGTATTGACTTCAGGAATGTTGCTGTATATACAAAAGTCTTTCTTTTCTTTTCTTTTTTTTGGTATCAGGATCAAACTCAGGACCTTGCACTTGAGAGGCAGGTGCAGTGCCACTGAGCTAAATCCTAGGCTCCCCAAAATCTTTCTTTTTGACTATTGTATAAAATTCCACTAAAAGTATCTTATGCTTACATCCTTTCTACTCTTACTGGGCACTTGGGGTTGATTCTAATATCTGGCTAAAAGCTCTTATTCTTGTACAAATTTGGGGGCAGCATAAGTACTGGTTTCTTTTGAGTATATATCCATGAGGGCTTTGCCAGGGTATGGTATAAATACCATAATACAGCAGTAATCCAGCCTCCATCAGAATTACAGAAACAAGAAAAAAGTTCACACTTTTTACTTTTTAAAATTTTCTTGAAGTCACAATTTTCAAGTTTCTTTCTTTCTCTTTTCTTTTTTCTTTCTTTCTTTCTTTTTTTGGTACCAGGGATCAAACTTGCGACCTTGAGCTTGCAAGGCAGGCAGTGAAACCACTGAGCTAAATCCCCAACCCCTGTCTTCAAATTTCTTCACAGACTTTATATCTTAATATATATTTACACCCAAAATCTTTTTATTGATTATCATACTTCTTTTTACCCAAAATATACATGTAAATCAAAGCAGACATTTTGAAAATGGCCCTTTTTACAACACAATTCTACGGATCTGCCTTTCAATTTATTATTGCGATGATCACTAATACATAGTTAATCAGAGTAACAGTAATATTTTATACATTTGACAAACCACTAAACACAAAACACTGCGAATGTGTTAGCTTTTCATTGCCATGGCCAAATACCTCAGAATAGCAGCTTAGAGGAGAAAAGATTTATTCTGGCTCAGTTTCAGTCCTTGGTCAGCTGGCTCCACCCCATTAAGCCTGTGGTGAGGCAGGACAATCATGATGGTGGAGGAAAGCTGTTTGCCTCAAGGCAGCCAGGAAGCAGAGAGGAGGGGCCAGGAACTAGGCGTGGTCCCCATGATCAATGCTTCCCTGATCCATTCCTTTCATTTAGGCCCCACTTCCTATTTCTGTCGCCTTCCGATGGTGCCATTAAATTAGCATCTCCTCGCAGGATTGATTCACTGATGCTCTGGAGCCATCACGCGTGATCCGAGTGCTTTACAAAAGTTCATCAGGTGCCAACCTTGCTTCGGCACCTGAATTCTGGGGCACATTTTGAATCTAATCTGTAACAGTATTGGCAGTACTTCCAAGGGTGAGAAGGGAGGGTGGCTGGTGCCAGTGCTTCTCTGGCTTTAAGGGCATCAGATGGCCCAGGGGTTCCTTAGAATACAGATTCTGATTCAGGATGTCTGGGCTGGAGCTCGTTATTCTGTTTCTTTCATTCTAGCTCTACTGAAGTATAACTGCTGTAGAGAAGACTGCACGTATTTAATGTATTCATCCTGGTGAATTTGTGGACTTGTATTTTTTAGACCACTGTGATGGTGATACACTCATCCACCTGCCACATCTTGAATAGCAGGGGTTGATTATGGTCCCTGATTAAAGGAAGATTTGCTAATACCAGAATTTTGAATTGGCTTTGAAGATGCTTCGACATTTTGGGGGTGTGTACTCTAGTCGGGTGCTGGGTGAGTAAGATGTTGGTCTTCTTCCTGCAGAGAGGGAACAAGACCACAGGAAGAGGGAGGTGGAAGGGGGAAGGTAGACGACAGCAGCATTTTGTCAGCAGAGCGGGGAAGAGTGGGAATGGATACCGTAGAAGCAGGCTCTCAGTTCAATTTCCTGCTGACTCTCTGTGCCCTGGAGTGGGTCTAGTGCAGTTTGCAGATCCCTTTCTTCTTTTTTCTTCTTGGTACCGGGGATCAAACTCGAGTTCTTGTGTTTGCGAGGCAGGTGGCAGCACCAAGGAGCTAAATCCCCAGCCCCTGCAGATCCCTTTCTTGAAGGAGGATAAAATGATGCTGGTCACCATGTCAGACAGGGAATACTTTTGGACAGGTATGATTGGACCTGTTGAGATGACTTGGAACAGTTTGGAGACTCTGCAGAGGGAAAAACACCAAAAGTCGAGTTTGGGGCTGGGTGGTGATGGCCGGGGACTCCCTGCTGAGGAGTTGTACTTCTTGCACAGGCAAAGGGAGCCCTCGGGTGTCGTCCAGCAGGTCATCTCTGTGAGCAGAGTACCTGGGGAGACAGATCTACCTGGAGCTTGTGGGTGTCTGGGAAGGAGTTGCTACACAAGGACCGTGGCGGTGACTGTGTTCCTGGCTGTGGTTACTATGATGTTTAACACCAGTTTTTGTGCTGGGTGCACAGGCTTGGTTTGATCATCAGTATTTCCTGAAGTGCTGGCTCATTTTTCTGGTGGTCCTTGAGATGTTTACACATAGAGCTCAAGGAAATTTAGAACACAGCAGATGTGGCCTTGAATAGCAGGGAAACCCAAGAGCGCTCTCTTGGCCCTGAGTGCACCTGTTACGTTTCTCCTGCTGCCATTTTCCTCCTGTTCACAAGCAGCTCACAGCTCAGGCTTGAGGGCTTTGGGGGAGCAGGCTATCTCCCCCAAAGAGAGGCTTTTTACCAAATTGTTTTTACTGAGCTCATTTCCTGTGTCCTAGGCTGCACGTGCTCCTGGTTTCCCACTTGGCTGTGGTGATACAGAACTCTTCATTTTAAGCAATTCATGGCAGTTAGAAGAGTGAGTCAGTGCACTAAATCACGCAGAAGAAACAATGATTACCTGGTGGTGTGGGGGGTTATGGCAAAAACTAGTGACGACACTCAGTGGGTCAGACTGAGCGCCAGATCTTGTGCTGATGCTCGCCAAGCAAGGCCCGGAGGCCCTGTGTGGTGGTGGGGCTGTGGGGAGGGAGCTGCTTTGGTCTCAGAGCCTGAACCCGCACGGCTGAGTCGGCTGGGCGGGTCCCCTCTGCCCCACAGCAGCAGCCTGACGCGATGCTCCTCGCTTCCTCCGCAGAGATCCGCACGCAGCTGGTGGAGCAGTTCAAATGCCTCGAGCAGCAGTCCGAGTCCCGGCTGCAGCTGCTTCAGGACCTCCAGGAGTTCTTCCGCAGGAAAGCTGAGATTGAGCTCGAGTATTCCCGCAGCCTGGAGAAGCTGGCTGAGCGGTTCTCCTCCAAAATCCGCAGCTCCCGGGAGCACCAGTTCAAGTGAGAAGTGGGCCAAGGTTCTGGGGAGAGGTGGTGAGGCGTGGAGGAGGTAGGGCATATCCTTTAAAGCACTGGGTCTGCAGGGGACTCAGACCCGAGCCTCGGTTGTCTTTATGCCCAAAGTGAAGATAGGAATAGCTCCCACACAGAAAGCTGCTGCACAGAGCAAACGAGAGCTTAGCGGAGTACTTGTCATAGACAGAGCGTGCCCAAGGTAGCTGGTATTATTAGTAGTACCCCAAGCACTAGGTGTTGAGCTAGCACCACTTTTGCCCTGCTAAGACCTCTTTCAGGATGCCCTGAACCTGTCACCTTGTTTCCCATCTGGGTACCACCTGCCTGCCCACTTCCCAGTTCACACAGCATGATGACCTTCAGACTTCACCTGCATGGAATGAGTCCTGGAAGCATTTCGCTTCTAGGCTTTCGCCAGCCTTACTGCCATAGTTAGCATGTGCAAATCCTCCCAGTCCCAGTTTCTCACACCCAGGCTCTGAGTGCACAGAGGCCCTGTCTGCGTCCTCAGCTATGAGCCACAGAGCTGGCAGAGCTGTCCCTGGAGCCAGCAGTAGGCTGCCCCCAGCCATCCAGCCAGGCTGTACAGGGAGCTTGGGTCTCATCTCCTGCCCTGCCCCTTCCTTTTGGTTTGGAATCAGTTCCTGTCCCATTTGAAGTGTGACAGTGGGGAGAGGCTGGATGGGGGGACATGGGAGGAGGTCCCTACTCCTTTGCATCAACTGTAATGAGCTTTACTAGCCCCTTCTGGGTTCATTAGCAGAGCCCCCAGACGGAATGGGAGCCCCAGCTGGCAGTCGGGCCAACCAGGCTGCTTGTCACTCTATAAAAGTCTAATTAGGATGTGGCCAGGCCAGTGCAGCTGGGGAGGGCTCTCTCTGTGCTGCTGTGGTGATGGAGCCCCCAGTGGCTAAGGATTCAGGGAGTCCCTAGGACAGGCTGGATTCACCCTTGACCTCAGGGCACTGACTGACCCCAGCCGCCTCTTCTTTGGAGCTCTCTGCACAGGGTCTGTGCTGGGCTGTGGCCCTTCATCCTGTAGAGTGGCAGTCCCTGGCTGCCTCCTGAAAGGGTTAATCTACCTTGAGGGCAGGGTCTGGGTCTTATTTTATTTTCACTGTAATGGGCCCAGCTCATCCAGTGGAGGGGAGATTTGTGAATAACAAGGAAGAAGAAAGGAAGGAGAGGGTAAAGGAAAGAAAGGAGAAGAGGGAGGGAGAAAAAAGACAAAGGAGAAGAAGGCAGGAAGGTGTTATGGTTTAGATCTAAAGAACCCCTCAAAAGTCTTGTGTGTCCAGAGATGGGGCTTTTAAGGTCTCTAACTCTGTCAGTTGATTAATCCATGGAGGAGATCATAATTTTGTGGCATTATTGGGAAGTAACAGTGATAGAAGTGGCCCAGTTGGAGGAAGGTGGTCACTGGGAACAGGCCTTTGAAGGGCACGTCTTGGCCCTGACCCCTCCTTTTCCCCTTCCTCCACCATGCCCTCCTGCAATGATGTTTCTGTTACCAAGGCCTAAAAGCCATGGAGCTTCCCGTGGCCTGAAATCTCCAAAGCCAGGAGCCAAAACAAACCTCTCCTTTGATCACAGTGATGAAAGGCTGATGAACACTAAAGGGAAAGTGAAGGAAGGGCAGAAGAGAGAAAGAGGAAGAAAGAAGGGAAGGGAGAATTTACTTGGTGCTTGCAGTTCATTCCGGCTGAGAGAGCTGTCTCAGAAAGGGAACAGGTTTGCCCAAGATCCGAGAGCAAATTAGGGTCAAGAACTGAAGTTCCCTCACTCCAGTCTAGTAAGCCCTGCTGGGTAGGTACTGTGTTTTGGGGTAGCCTCACCTGGCTGAGTGATTCAAAGAAAGGCTTTCATGATGGCGCTGAGGGGTCTCCCAGGGGCAGGAGGAATATTTGAAGAACAGCAGCATCACACATTTCTTTTCTAGCTTACTCTTCTTGAACGATTCTTTTTCAAAGAACCATGGCATCCTTGCTTTCTCATAATAGTGACAATAACCTAGGCAGGTAGAGAGGGAGCTGAAGTTTCAATCCCCAGTACACTGGGCACCAGGAAAACCGAATGGCTTCTCTTACCAAGGTTATACAGTGAACCGTGTGGCTTAAGAATCCAGGCAGGGGTCCTGATGTCCAGCGTGACTTCCCCAATAGGCCACCTGGTCCTTCATTTATTTCACATATGTGCACAAGGACCTGTAGTTTTCTGGGACTGTGCTTAGCGATCAAGACACAATGTGGCTTAGAGGTGCTTATAGTTGGTGTGGTTGGGCAGGCTCCCAGCCTCTGTGGCTATGGCCTTGGAACCCTCAACTCCTAATGTTTAGATGCAAACCTTCTCGGATCTTGACCTGGTTCCTTCCCCCTACCTGTCCTCGAGGAGAGAGGGATGGGGGAAGAAGGGGAAGAGGAGAAGGAGGAAAAGGCGGAGGAGAAGGGAAGGGAAAAAAAGAAAGAAGGGGGAAGGGGGAAGCAAAGAAGAGAGAGAAAATTTTCTGTGTTTGGGAAGCATAGCGTATTCTTATCACCCCTCTTAGATTAGATCCCTGACACACATGAGTGTTCGGAAGGCTCTGAAAAGTTTGCCAGTGAATAAGCCTGTTGGCTTCTTTCTGAAAGCCGTTTGACCACAGAATTCCTTTCCCTGCAATATGTATTAATACCTCAAAAACTAGCACACTGCAGGACCCAACGTGAAATGCTCTGCTCTAGATGAATAGCAGTTACCATACACCCTAGTTCGGGGTGACAGAGCCCCCTTCTAGCCTGCTGTCCTCCATTTTTTTTTTTTTTTTTTTTTTTTT